TCTTTACTTCACATGCCCCACCCCCGCACCACCGGCCCCCGCCCTGCACCCCCGCCCCCGCACGCTGTTGGCTCCGCCCCCGGCCCCGCCGCGAGCCATTGTGGTCCGGTAGGCCGAGCCTCTGAAAATTTTGTAGGCGACGATTTGCATTTTCAGCAAGGCTGGGACCATGTACTGGCGGTTTAACCAGGAAGTTTACCATTTGGGCAATATGGAGGGAGAGCTGTAGCATTACTTTGGCCAACACGAGGAACCCAAGGGAACTCATATGGTCAGCTACCAAGGGCATGTACGAGATGGAAATGAACTGCAAAGTTGCAAACGGTCAAAGGGGAAGACATATACTCAGAGTAACCGAGAGGCACAACAAGGCAGCAAGACAAAATTCAAACACAACTGGCTAGTAAATGGGCAAGAGGCAACCTTCAATGGACTCCCCTCAAATGGCTAAGCTGGCATAACTGGGACAACACTTCCAATCAACATATAGAGCACGGACAGGCAGAGCAGGGACCTATCTGGGGTTAAACCACCAGTACCTCCAAGTGTTTCTTTCCCGATGCGGATTTGCACTGCGCACAGATGGAAAAAAAAAACGCCAGCAGCGCAACTTTTTCTTTTGGCTGGTGCCGCCAGCCATATTGGTCTGGTAGCACTGTTCATCCGAACTCTTAGGATTGGGCGGTTTGAGGGTCGTGACAATTCTGGTGCTAACTGGTGTGTATGAATACGTAGACTCAGAGAAATTCTAGAAGAACAAGGCAAGCCCGGCAGTCAATACTCCTGAAAAGGAGCAATGAATGCTGCTCATCGGTGTCTTCGGCCTGGACAGAAGGAAGAATACTGTGTATTCACCCATGCAGTTTTCAGTCTGAGAATTTTGCTTTTCTCTGAAATTTCCTAGTGTGAGCCTGTTTGGGTATGGAAATAGCCTGTGAAAGTGTCTGCTCAAGTTTACTCCTGTGCTTGAACTGCAACTCTGCAAGTGACGCACTTAAACCACACACTTTTGGGAAGTAATCCCCAGAGCCCCCACTAAATTTTACGAAGTACCCAGCCCCCGGAAATCCCACAATTGCTGGCTGTAACTCAAGGCTAGACTTGGGCTAAAATGTGCTGAGGTCATACTGCCCTAACCCCTGTCCACATGCGCTTGAGTGTCGGTACTATGTGGATAAAGATCGTGCAATAAGTTGCCAATAACTATATTTCTTATCTACAAGTATCGCATCTCAAGTTTTGCCAGAAGTGGTCTTTGTAATTTCCCATTACCTCTGAACAACTGAAACATCAGCAGATTCAGCACTGTCTCAGTCTGTCGTGACCAGTTATGCAGGGCTCCCACACGGGCCCCTCCAGGGCCCAACATTGGGTCAGGGGTTGTGAAGTGTGAATTTGGGGTGGGGATGTCTGCATTTTTTATTTTAATTTTCCCACAAACAGCAAAGCCCCATCTATTCTGGGGGGCAACAATCCAGTCGCTTATTACCGGCAAGCATAGGACGCAGTTCAAGAAAAAGATTCAGAAGACACCACAGCTTCCCACCCCTGGGGCCCTAGACGCTGTACAGGGGGGGCTGGGGGCCAGCACAGTGGTGCATGCCTAACCTCCCTGGGGCTCCCATAGTGACCAGGAAACATCCAATCAGTACCCAGACACACACTATGGGGGTCCCAGGGGGCCGGTTTTGGGCCATAGGGCTGCCTCTCCTGTCTCGGGGGCCCCATTCCACCCCTCATCACCTGTTGTTCAACCTAGCCATAGCTCCACATCGTCCCCCTTTAAAACCTCTACCTTGCCTTCAAAGCAACTTCAAACATCACTTTCAATTTTCCCTGCCTATAACCGGCTATCTCATGTTGATTATCCTGTAGCCAGCTGTACTTCTCACATTGACTACCCCTGTACCCCTATCCTCAACGATGCTACTACCAGTCCTTGCTCCCTTGCCCACTCCACACACATGCACCAACTAACCTTCGGGGGGCGGCCCCTCCCCCCCCCCCCCCCCCCTGCTTCATCGTACATGGGCCTCTAACCTATTCGACCTATCACTGACTTTAGTACAGGAGTGACCCGAATACTATTCCTCCACATCTACTGCATACTTCTGCAGCATGAAGACAAAGATCAGTCTCCCTGTCTCAGGGTCCTTCTTCACCGACCTGGGGTAATCCCCCAAGTTTTCCAGAATCCTTGACTTCTGTCTGCACTTCGGCAAGTCCACCAGAAGGGCTATGTGCAGAGTCTCCATTGCTCTGGTCCTCAGCACCGAGACATGGTGACATCCTTGCCTTGTTGTATCCTCTCATTCCTAAGCATCCATAACGCCCAGAGCACATCCCCCCTAACCATTTCTGTGGCTAAAAGTCGGTCTTTGTCCTCCCGATTCACCACCATTAATGCTCCTAGTAAGATTCCCGCATCGTCCTCTTCGGTGACCACCCCTGGCGAGGGCTCTCTCATCTCTACTGACCACGAGCAGTGCACAAAAACCTGGGAACTCCACCTGCCCGCATCCCGGGGCAGAGCAAAAGCACCTCTGTGTGCCGGCCTTTTGAGGCCATCCATTGTGCGGTGGGGACTGCAAGATGGTAGATTAGCCATAGCAACCCAGCCTGTTTCTGATCAGGCAGGGCCTTCAAAATCGTGCATTGCTCACTCCAACCGCGATAGGTCCGTCTGGCCAGCCATACCAGAGGGAGCCAGTACTTCTTAGCCCACCGGTCAAGAAGTTCTGCTGCGATGTCTACTTTCGGAAATAAGGATCGGTAAATCATTTTGGTGGTAATCTGTTGCAATGGGACGCATCTTCTATTGTAATTCTGCGGCAGGAGGTACCACTCCTGTAGATCAAGCGCCAAATTATGTCTAGCCTTGCTGAGGCAACAGCGGCAATGCTCCTCATTCCCCGATTTGCCCGCCTTGCAGACCGACATCGTCTCCATTGTCCTCGGATCGATTCGACACGGATGTGATCGCCCATCCTACCGCGCACCTACCAGATGGGAGCCCAGCCCTTCATATCCCGATCGCACCACCCATTCCGCGGTTTCCACTAGTTCCCCATTGGTCGCCCTACCAATCCTATAGACGGACCATGAGAAGGGCTCCCCTTTCTTCTTTACCCAATTCCCTTCCTGTGGCTCAGCCTTTTTTCGTAGCTCCACCCATTGATGCGGAATTGCCTCCCTCAACTCCTGTAACCGCTGAGGTCTTCTAGGCTGCCATGGGAGCCTCTCCATCATCTCCTCGTCCGATCTACAATCCTCTTGCTGCCCATCCCACAGACGTCCGACCTTGTAGACCCCGCACTCCGCTCATTGGTGACCGAAGGCTCCCGCTTTACTTTGCCACAGGAATGGATCCCCCTCCACATTGCAGATAAACCTATTATCAAACAACAGCTGATTATAAACTGCATCCATCGATTCCGGCAGCCTGCACTGAATTGCGATCTTATTCCTCCACAGGGACTATGGGGTGGACCATACCATGCCCCGTCTTACATGACCCATCAAGCTGTCACTCGCGAGGCACAGATCAACCATCTCTGGTGGTTCCCTGATGGCGTACGCCAAGTGCTGCTGCGTCACCTCTCTCCACAGCTCGCCCGAGATCCTCAAGAGCAGCCACACTATGTTCCTCAATTGTAGGGTGACCATCTGAATCAGCTTCGGCCACGCCACTCTGGACATGCAGTCCTCCGAACCTGCCTTTCCAGTCCAAAGCTACGTGTGGATTGCCTTCCTCAACAAAGTGAAAGTCCGCCTGCTGGGCAGATGGATGGCACCTGTATACCACACGGTGGCAAGCACCGAATTGTTGACTACAAGCACCTTGCCAAATATACCCAAACTAGCCCGCGAACCCCATGCTGCCAGTGCTGTCATCTGGGCTGCACTCCCCTCCATCGAGGAGATAGCCACCCCCAAGAAGCTCACCCTCTCATCTTCCCTGTAGGTGGGCACGTCCCATCCCTCTGGTGGGGCCATACCTTGATGCCTCTGGACTTGCCCCAATTGACCCTGGCCCCTGAGTACTTACAAAAAGTCTCCAAATTGGCCTTCAAAACACCCAACATTTTTCTGAGTTCATCTTTGTTGTTGTTCTCAATTGTTTGTCTGTTCTGAGCCTATTTTTGTCTGTTCCAGTGTTGCCTGGTCTGGATGTGTCGTTTCAGCATTTTTTTCCAGGCCAGCAGTTCCTCTGGACCAGTGGCCATTTTTAGGCCTGGCTCATTTAGATTCGGGCTGAACCACATTTCGGTACAGCCCTGGTTTTGTTGTCTTGTGAGGACACCTCTACTGTATTAGCAGAGGAGCCTGGACTTCCAGTTGAGACCCAGGCAGGACGTTTTTGGGCAGAACACAGGACCAGGATTTGGGCCTGCATGCTGGAACGCCGATCGGCAGTATGATCAGACGGCCCAGGACACAGGCCAAGGTAAGATCCAGGACGACATCTGCTTGTCATGTATGTTTCAACAGGGGCTGCCTGTGTTCTGGCCAAAAACGGCCTTGCTGGACACAGGCCCAGGACACAGGCCAGAACACAGGTCCAGGATTTGCGCTTACAAAAAGTCTTCATGGTGATCCTTGGACATGCGACATCTGCTTGTCATGTACATTTCAACAGGGGCCTTGCTGTACTATGGATTGAACATGTACATTTCATGCCTATCTGATACTTATGGGCATGCGACATCTGCTTGTCATGTACATTTCAACAGGGGCCTTGCTGTACTATGGATTGAACCAGGCTCCTGATAATCCCTGCAGGAAACTAGACGTCCCTTAAAATTGGGCACAACTTCTATGACACTGCAACACCCACTGGGTGTCTCCAGACCTGCTGGCGCTGAATCTCTCTGTGAGTCAGTGTTCCAGGCAATGAGGGGGAAACCCATTCTACCCCAAACCAAGGAACAAGAATATTCACGACAGTTTTGTTTCTTGTTTACTCTGAAAAGCACATAAAGAGTGGCATGGGATGAACAAATGGATGTTCGGAAGGACAGAATTCAAACTTTGACTATCCATTCTCTGGTTGCAAAGTAAAAACATGTTATAATCATTGAGGAGCTGCACTGCAACTTCACTGCATTATCATTGGATTTGGCATGCACTTCGCTGCACTGCAACTACCTGTATGTGGACTTCTCTCTCCATCCCCAGTGCTCAACTCGGCACCATCCTCCCCGTCATAAGCGCCCGCCTGAAAGGCATCCTTGCCGCTGCCCCCTCTTGCAAGGTTGAGTTTCTCTGCTGTCACTCTGACGCTGAGGAGGAGCTCAGCTGCTGCCTCATCAATGATTCGCAAAGCCTCTGCATCCCCTGATTCTGCAGATGCTTTGACCAATGGGACCAGAGCTGCTATTCGTGCCCATGATGAATCCTCATATGCCCATCTGCAAGCAGCCCAACGGCTCAACATGTGACCATAAAATACACAAACAGATAAATTATCTCAGTCGCTGAGCATTGGATCATAATCATCATATTGAATTCAGTACATCATCCCATTCAGATGTAATCCAGCTCAATACCACATGACATTGACTGAACCCTAAAAGTATCCGGTGATAACGAACAGAAGACAAGATTACGAAGCTCCAGAAAGATTGCTAAGACGGCAAAACCCATAATATGAGAGAGAGCGCAGAAACAGACATAAACGCAAGGGTTTAAGGAAAAGAAGGGATATTTTACGAGGAGTTACTTGAACTTACTTCCTGTCCTTTTAGGGATTTTCCCTCTTCGTGCTGTTTGTAATTTAGTTAGTCCAGTTTCCATGTTTCGTTTTGGAATAGTACGTAAGGCTTTCCACTCTTCGAGGCATGGGACACTGGACCCGTTTTCCAGTCTGAACCCAAACTGGGTATTCCGGGTTGAGATGTGGAGGGATTTCCGGCCTCCTTTTGCTCTTCCAGTGAAAACATGATATTTCAACAAAAAAAAAAAGCAAAAAAAAAAAGGTAACCTTTACAAGTTTACATGTCCTTCACATATTATTACTATTTAACAAAGTCTGATCAAGGCCTCACCCTTGTAGATTGTGAAAAGTCTTCACACGCTCTCTTTTTCTCTCTCACATTGTCTCCTATCCTTTATACCTGCCAAATGATCACAGATCTCCCTCCAAGGTTGGATCTCCCCAATCCAACAGCGTCAAACCACCACTACGCAGCCAGGCCAATCCAGGACCTGTAAACAGCTATGGCTTCCGCAAGTTTCAGGGGATCAGGGCTACCAGACCACAATGGCTTATACCTGCCAAATGTTCACAGATCTCCCTCCAAGGTTCTCCTCATCTAACAGAGTCAAACCATCACTAATTGCCCAGGCAAATCGCGCACCTGTAAACAGCTATGGCTTCCACAAGTTTCAGGGGCTCAGCGCTACCGGACCACAATGGCTGGCAGCCCTTGGGAGGCTTCTGAAAAACAGCCTCGGATGCAGTGGTGGTTCAAGCTCCTGAAAAAGTAGCGGCAATCTTGGATCCTGCCCACTCATGAAACCTCTTGGCATGTTGTCCAGAAAATCAAGCTCTCATCAAGAAGTGACTCATATTCTTCCCTTCACACAAAAGGTGCCAAATACTTTCCCTTCCCCTTTAACAAGCCAACGACCCGTACTCTGAGTGCTCCACAAGCCCGGACTGTCGCTCCCCAGGACCACTGGGAAAAAAGAACAAGAATGAAAAAAGGAAGAGAGTTTAGAGAAGACAAAAGAGTTGGAGAAGAGGCCGCATGACCCTGGACGGCATCAGGAACCCAAGGGAGGAAGTATCGGTTACGGAAGGAGAGACAGAAGGATATGGAAGGAGAGATGCAGCATCACTCTGTGCGCCATCAGGAATCCAAGGGAGAAAGTATACATCACAAAAACTCACAACTGAAACCATCACTGAAGAAGAAATTAAACAGCAGAGCAGTGCAGAGTCTGCAGACAGCAAATGTTCGCCTTAGAGGCTACGTCGTTGGCCAACATAATGCCTTGTCACGTGGTTTTTGCAACTGAAGTTCCCACAGGCTCTCCCAATGATGTATTAGACGACCAGGATGGAATGAGATACAGAATGATTGAAAAGTCAATTAACAGCCTTCGAGGACCAATAGGAGATACTCACATGACATTTCCAAGACGTCCTATGATTTTGATTCACAGCTTCTGGGGAGATAAGGTGGACAGCACTCACGTGATGAGCTCTTGTGCAGTTGAGACTCTAAGATGTCCCATAATTGCAGCAGTGAGAGAAGTAGGTGGTCCTCTTCCATCCAAGGAGCGTGCAACAGCCGTTAATGCATCCGTTCCTATGGAATGCCCGCTGCCATGGAGTGCAACAAAGATATGGCAGATTCAGTTGAGTATCCAATACTATCCATCATTATTGTTGGCAAGGGATAATTTTTCTTGAAAGTTCACCTGTGGTCATTAAACATAAACTTATCAAAGGCAAGACAACCTGTGACAAACTGCAAATGTCTGTGCAACTCATTACAGGTGAGGGAAGAAAGGAACTATGTGCAAGGAAGTTGAAGGAACCATTAATGAAAAAGAAATCTTTCAAAAGCGAAAGACTCGAAGGAGAACCAGCATATATGAGCACACACTGACACCGAAATCTCTTGATAAAGAAAGCCCGACTTCTCGCCACCTCTCATCAATACAATGACAGTGTAGTAGTTCTCCAATCATGTGGCCGCCTATACTGCACAGCCTCTCTCTCTCTCTCTCTCTCTCTCTCTCTCTCTCTCTCTCTCTCTCTCTCTCTCTCTCTCTCTCTCTCTCTCTCTCTCTCTCTCTCTCTGACCTAAAAATGCTGCAGAGTCTGACCACCCAAAGTGTGCCCACTGGCCATCGCCGGGTAAGTCCACCTGTGCCCACCGCGGACCTTGTCCCCTGATCACCCCAGCACCAGCGCCCTTTCTTCCCCCTTGGCACAGCTATGGCTGCCGACATGCAGGAGCAGCTGCCGTGGCTGCTCCTCCCTTTCTCCTTCGTCAATGCTCAGGGGCCTGGCCGCATGTGCTTGCTTCAGAGACGGTGCTGGCAACCAGTGCCTCCAAATGTGTGGAATGCTGCGGTCTCCCTTCCTTTTATCACTTCTTGGAGGTCACGGCAGCCTGGCTGGTACTGGGCTTGCTCCAGTCTTGCAACTTCTTAGAGAGAGAGAGAGAGAGGGAGGGAGGAAGGGAGATGGAGGGCAAAGAGAGAAAGAGAGGGCGAGGGAGAGGAGGCAACGTCGTCTTAGTGAGTTTTGGATTGCTGACTGCGACATGAAAAAGGAAGAAATAACAGCATGATGGCAAAGTTGAAAACATCGAGGGTCTTCTGTAAGCTATAGGGCACTCAAGTTACATTCAGGATGTAGAAACGAATGCTGGCAACAGCCCTACTTTCATTGAGATTGCGTTCAGTACCTCCCTTTGTCACCTAGAGCTGGACCCCATCCTGATGCATGAGCCATGGCTCCACTCTGGTTGACACCAAAAGCAATGGTCCCTGTTCCAACAATCAACACACAGCCATAGAGTTTCCCATTTGTCCCACTTGATAGTGCCACAATAGCGTCGTTGTAAACCCACACTGGGATGCATCCTGGAAAAATGGACCTGTCGAGGACACACCAAGAAAGGCAAGTCACTGAGCCGCCAGCAAATTACGATTATTACGTACAAAATGGTCTTTCTTGAACAAAGGCCTGACAAGACACTTGGCACTGCGGAGGAGAAGGGGAATACTGATAGAGGAGGATGTGGCAGAGGAGGTGGAGGAGGAGGAGGAGGAGGAGGAGGAGGAGGAGGTGGTGGTAGAGGAGGACACGGAGGTGGTGGGAGGATGCGGATCTTGTGGACGAGGACGACAAGGAAGACGTGGACAAGGAGCTGAAGCAATTGGGATGCCGATAGAGGAGGAGGAGGTTGCTCTGGAGGAGGAGGAGGACGAAGAGAATGTCACTGTAAGAGGAGGAGTGGAGAGAGTGGCAGAGGAGTAGGACTGGGAGGTGCAGGAGGCTTGACATCAGCATTTAGAGAAAGAGAGAGAGAAAAAGAGACAGAGAAGAGAGAAAGACAATTGTTATCCTTCTCCTCGTCGTCCTTGTCGCCCTCTCCTCCTCATTGTCCTCGTCCTCGTCATCGTTCCTCATTTCCATCCTTCCGCCCATTATTGTCCTGCCTGCGTGCCCGCTTGCTTGGCTCTCTCTCTCTGTGGCATACTGTGCAGCCACACGGGCCTGCAGGGCCCAACCAGGGTTCTCAGCCTAAAAGCGAGGGCCTACAGGCCCTGTGTCGTTTTCAGCCTAAAAGCCTGAAAACGAGGGCTTACAGGCCCTGTGTCGGTTCAGCCAATAAGGGCCTACAGGCCCTGTGTCGGTTCAGCCTGACAGCCTGAAAACAAGGGCCTACAGGCCCTGTGTCGTGTCAGACTGACAGCCTGAAAACGAGGGCCTACAGGCCGTGGGTCGGTTCAGCCTGAAAGCCTGAAAACAGGGCCTACAGGCCCCGTGTCTGTTTCAGCCTGACAGCCTGAAAACCAGGGCCTACAGGCCCCGTGTCTGTTTCAGCCTGACAGCCTGAAAAAC